ACCCCCCCACCCCCTCCCCAATCTGAAAGGAAACACTATATAATATTTAACTGCCCAGGAAAAAATTTTATATAGAAAATGTTACCTTTCTTCAGTGACTACATTGGTGGTTGCATTTCAAATCAAATAATCCCTGGCGACCTGGAAAGAAAATAGCTCAGGGAAATTGGGCATCTTTGTTGTTAACATGCTGAGATTGTGTCTTCTTTGTTCTTTCAACAGTCCATTCTGTCTGTGGTGAATGCCACAGCGAACATGAAGTGGTGCTCGGACAAATGTCATCACTCGGACCAGAGCCTCAACCTAGGCAAGTGTGTGCTGCACACAGCTCAGATGGAATGTCAAGCAACTGTGGCAGTGAGTACTGGAAATGTCCATGTCTGTCTTACTCCTTATTTGAATGTTCGGCAGTGCTTGAGTACTCCCGTGTTGAAGTAAGAGAGAAGAATTTGTCTCAAGGGAGTAGGCGATGGAGGGGAGAGGGAAATGGGGAGGCTGCCTTGCAGACAGAGAGGAGGGAAATGGGGAATTCGACAGGCAGATTGGTTGAGTGACGGAAAGGCAGACAGGAATAAAGATATGTATAAAGGAAATGAGGAATAAAGACAGATTTGGAACGCTGAGCTTGTAAGTGTATCTCGTAGACTGACATAAAGAAAAGAAAATAAGAAAGAAGAGAATTATAAAATGTGGAGAAAAGATGACCCGCTGGGTTTATGATGGTACTGTCAAGACCCTTTTTTAGGATATTGTTTTGTTATATGATTTGTTCTTAAAAGACACGACACATTCATTATGAGTTTAGGCCTTTGTGCCGTGAAATGTCTCTCACTGAATGTTTCTTGTTAGTTTTAGTTTTTCTAAGTTTCCGTTCTTATTAAATGCACGATGAGAATCATGAGTTTGCTTAGTGGGTGGTTGGCAGTTGGTCTTCTGTGGTTTGCTCCTTCTTTCCTATTAAATATGTGTCCTTATCTTCCCTCCTCCTTTTTTGTGTTTGTTACTTTCTTGTAACACCACTAGTCTTCAACACTTATATAACCTTATTGTGTTGCAAGTGCTGTAAACTTTTCCTTAAACTAATTATTGTAATGTGTCATGCTGTCGTATCCTTTCACAGATAGATCTTACTTTTCTCGTGCTTTATATTATTTCTGATTTATCTTTTGCTGTTGTCAGACACTATACTGTTGTGTACGCGGCTTGTTGGCACTCTTATGTACAAATTTGAATCAAGGTTACTTCTAAATTAAAAATATAGGTGGTTGATGGGTGTTCTTATGTGGTTTGCCCTTTCTTTCCTTCTGTAGTCCTCAGCTCTCCTCCTCCTTTTCTTTTATATTTTCTTCAGTGGCACTAATCTTCAGCACTTATATAGCCCCCCACCAGGGCAGTGCTACTAACTGAAGTGTCTTTAGGCCATTCCCAAAGGGGGGATATTACCATGTTCTTGTGATCAGTAAAATTGTAAATGGGCTGATTTATCTATGTCATGCTCATACTGTGCCGGAACAACATAGTGGGAACTGATGCTTTTTCTTTTCTCATCCTTACTATTGTCATTTTCCTCTACTTCTGTATATATGTGAACTGCTATTTCTGGGGTGCCTAGATAGTCAAAGCAGACTTTGTGCTGTTGAGGCTAGAGAGGTGAGCAGAGTAAGCCTGATTCCCCATTTGAATTTCTATGTTGGCATCCACCCCATGGCGCTGATGTGACCTTATGGAGTTGTGAGTGCCGTAAAACCGTACTAAAACTAAAACTAAGCTCTTATAAGACTTATATATGAGCTGCAAGTGTTGTAATGAAAACCTCTTACTAATAAAGTAATTTATCGAATGTTATGTCTAATTACTGTGACATGTAGGTAATTATTCACCTATTTCATGTCTTCAACTCAGTCTGGTCAAATATGATAGGATTCTTTGATTTGATGATACTTATACAGAATTCTAAGACATTTGATCTGATATGTGTATTTTTTCAGGGTAAACAATACACAAGCCACCCTGTGAAAGATTTCAATTTTGATCGTGACATTGAGGCTCTCAGGGAACAAACTGAGTTCAACAAGTCCATCTCTGTGTTCCCCATGCCTGATGAAAGGACTCACTTCAAACTACACAGGTAATTTGAGAATTTGTTTAATTTATTGTTAGTCTGAACATCCCAACTCATAATTCGTTTTAGAAGCAGAGCAATTAGCTGAGTAATTAGAGTAATGAAGGAAAAGAGAATAAATGTGGCTGATGTATGAAAGTAAACGTCATCTATGTACATCTGAGCGTGGACATTTTGTTTAATCACAGAGAGCCCCAGTATGTTGAGGGAATGAACTGACCATTAGCTCTGTCAATGTCATGCCAGACTGGTGCTGTCTTCAGAATCCCCAATAGAACATTCGTGAACTTGGGGCTTATCTCAGGAGTTTCAGTGCTTTCCACACCCTCTTGGCTTGATTTATCTGAGATTGATGTTAAATAGGCGTTTTGGAGAGGTTCAGCTTTTAATGTAGTCATACTTTGATGGAAGGATTGTTTGACCCAGCCTGAACCAAACCATATTGAGAAGGTCTTTGGCATTGTCACCGTCGATCCTTTGAAGGTGTTTAGAACATATTTTTTGCTTGTTTACTAATGTGCATTTTGTGGTGTTTTTTAAAAAAGGTTTTAAAAAATGTTTAATTATGTGAATTTGGAATATTTTGAATACAGAAGATGAGCATTGCCTAAAAGTTATGGTGAGAAAATTTTTTAAATTTTTATCAAAGGTATTTCTGTGAAGTGGAGCTCAACGCGACCTTTTACGAAATCCAAGAAATGAAGGATAATATCCTGTACATGAGCCAGTTTGCCCCTGGTGGCCGTGACAGTGTCTCCTGGCCAGTAGGTGAGTTGTCTGGACTAGTTTTGTCCTGTGCGTATTAAATAGTTTGAACGTATTAGATAATTGGTTGTTGTTGTTTTCGATCCAGCAGTAGCTGGGCTCTCGCCCTTCTGTCCAATGCCATGTAGTGAGAAGTGCAGGTTTTGCTGCCGTTGCTGTAATGTTCCTTAGAGTGTGTTGTCAATGTTAGGTTTCGGAGGGAGAAGGGTAATGGATAATTGGTAACCTGCATATTTTTGTGTTTTCATTTTTTAGCACATCACTATTATCTTTGGATGTTTGAGACGTCCAGAAAAGTTGGCTGTTGATAAAAGTTTTTAGGTCTGATTAAAAGTTTTTGGAACAATTGATTGTTGTGGAATTCTTGAATTCTTTTTTGAAAATGATTGAAACATGATATCAGCGTTATATTCTAGTGTTTCTGTTACTTTGTCTCTTCTTCCCTTAGCAGTTTATCAGTAGGATAATGTATCACTTTTTGTGTAGACTCCAAATGAAAACTTGTAATAAAAATGTGTGTAGCTGTATATTAATGATAATTTTTTCAAATATGAGACTCCCTTACTGTATTGAACTGATGGTGATGTATTTTCAAGAATCTGTTGTACAGTATAGGTTCACAATGTTACTGTTTTCCTCTCTACTATTTTGATTCATCAGGTGTTCCAGAGTCATATAAACCCAAGAACCGTTTTGATGTGATCCGCTGGGACTATTTCACAGAGACACACATCTTTTTCCAAGACGATTTCACTAATGTGAAGGAACTTGTTGGTCAGTCAAGTTATTTCGTGCCATTACTGTCCTCTTCCCATGTATTGAATGCCAAACTGATTCACTTCCTGAAGTACTGATAGTTTGTAAGGTTTAAATTCTCCTTTTGTTTGCAACTGAAAATATTAGGTGTGTCCCGCGCGCTCATATGACCTTATGCAGTTGCGAGCGCCGTAAAACACTTTACAAAAGCAAAAAACAACCTTTTGTTTGGAGAGAACTGGAGGGAATTGTAGCTTTAGTAGTGTCATTCCTGTCAGTAAAGAAAAGGGAATGTGAAAGTGTTATTTCATTGGTCATTTTGATAGATTAGTTTGGGTGTTACTATATGAAATGCTGATTTATCTCAAAAGCCATGAACTCATTATTGTTATAAGGTTGTCCAAAAACTGATTGAGTCTTATATTTTCATCCTATTAATCTTCATAAAACACCATACAAAAAGTGACATGCACCCTGTAGATGTGTCTACGATTTTTGGCTTTCAGGGAGAACTTTCACCCCCACCACCTCCAAATGTATTTATATACTTATTTTGTTTATTCAAAACTGTGGTATGACCGTTTTGTGAATGTTGTTGATCAGGTGTGGACAAGCTGGACATCCAGGACATCATCAAAGTGTCAATGGAGAAACTGAATGCCAAGCATAACAACATCTACCTGTATTCGTATCTCATCAATGGCTACCGACGCTTTGACCCACAACGAGGAATGGAGTATATACTTGACCTTGCTCTGGAAGACACTTCTATCGTTTCGGAGGATGGCAGTAATAATGACCGTGTTGTGGAAAAACGAGTTTTCCTGGTGCGACCTCTGGGAGAGGTACCTCATCTTTTTGTATTCACTTGTAGCTGGGATTTTTGGGCTGCATAAGTACAATTTACCTTTTAACAGTAATTGGGGATTCTAACCATCATAATATGAGATATGTTAAAAGGTCAAGTACAAATTTCTATGTGCTGTTGGATTTAGGACTTTCTTTTGAGTAGTTTGCTCAACCTACCCTCTTTTCATAGATGCTTTTGTCTATTTCTGTTTCTTCACATTGACACATTTGAAGAACCCATTGCACACACAGACAAATTTTGTTAATCTTCTCAAAGCTTTTTCTGGCAGGTAGGATGATATAACATACTCTAATGTGTGAGCTTTGTCCGAGTTTTGAAATAGTTTGAATCTATACCACCCAAAAAATATGACCTTAGTCAAAATCGATGTCCTTGTGATCAGAAACTTTTAGCTTGTCTTTAACACTAGCAGTGTTCCATATAAAGCTGTTCTGATGAATGTTTCATGCTAGTCATATAATTCTTGTTTTTTCAGGCATTTTAACAAATTCCAAGCAGTTTTTATTCTTGACATAGTTGAGGATGTTTCTAGAAACGATCTATGCTTGAAATTTTTGGTCAGTTTCCTGAACACATAACATGAACTTTTACTCAAATGCACTCTTGACATGTCTCACTTTCACCTGTAAACACATGCCTATTTATGTCCCCAGGTGGAGGTGGTACCTATGCCGTATGTCACTGAAAATACCAAAATTCGCCTGGTGCTGCCTATCACAATGCATGACACTGACGGGTGGGGTTTATTCGTTGAGAACTACTCAAAGATTAAGGTAATTGTAGGACTGGTTTGTGCGAAAAATAGTTTATTCTTTATGTTTCTTTTATGGGGGCTCATGTTGAATTAGTTTCTCAGTCAAAGATCCATGGATGGAAGCCTGCCTGCAATGAGAAAATTAACTTTTCTGAAATTTTTGTTTCTTTTGTCTTCCTTTCCAGTTGTCATCTGCTTTCATCTTTATTTTCCCTTTACACCCCCCCCCCCCCACCCCCACACACACACACACACATCTGGCCCCTTCTCTGCTCTGTTCTTCCTGACTCCTAACTCTTTCTACTGCTAGGCTTGGCTTCTTGTTACTATGGTCTTTCAGCCACTCCTTTGATCTTAAAGATATGTTAGTAAGACTGAACACCTAGCCTTCGCTACAAATGTTGGAGTCCCATGTGCAAGTTATAAGCATATTAAAGATCATGTGGTGGTCCTGAAATCGACACTATACAATATAATTTCTACCAAAATTGAAAATACTCAAGTTGATTAAAGAAAAAAAGCCCTTTCAAATTGGAATGTGGCTACTTTTAACCTGGAGGTCAAGAGAGGCTCTACGAAGTAGGGCAAATATTTTATTTTCATCAGTGTCTCTTCCAGCCAAATCTTTTTGTATTTCTGTTTGTTGCCTTGCATGGTGCACAATTTAAGGTTTTGAATTGATGTACCGCTTATTTCTATGACGATTCTTTGTTGTTGTTTTTTCGATTCTAATTGAGTATCAATACACTGTCTCTAATGGTTATTCTTATCTGCTTCTTCTCTGTTTCTGAGTACTTATCAACTTTTGGATAGTACATTTGGTTGGTCATTCTTCTTTTCTTTTCTCTCAGTTATTTGTTTGTTACCTAATACACTTTTTTGTTCCCTGCAATATGCCCTTTTTTCATATGTATACTGTGTGTTCCCCATAATTTCAGTTTCTTTTCAACTTTGGCATGAGTTCATATGCACACACGCAGGCACCCACATGTGCGTGCGCACTCACCCACGCACACACACACACGCACACACAGACACATACATATACACGTGCACAGACACACGATCCAGAAACACGGGTATTCATTTACATACAAATTTGCTGATTGGAGGGTGCTGTTGTTGGTGTTGGATCTTACTACTTTTCTTTCTCTATATTGTTCCTGTCTACTTTGCATTTTCTCGCCTCTAAATCACTGTTATCATGTACATGATGTACTTCTCTGTTCTCAAATTTAATTGAGCACCCACACGCGGACGCACACGCGGACGCACACGCGGACGCACACGCACACACACACACACACACACACACACACACACACACACACACACACACACACACACACACACACACACACACACACACACACACACACACACACACACACACGCACATGCACACACACACACAGACACACGCGTGCACACATACACACACACTTACTTACGCATAAGTACACACTCACACCCACTTATATACACACAGCCACTCACTGATAGATGTTATTATACTCACCCGCTCAACACCTAGACACAAATGAGCATACACACGGAAGTCCAATATGAAATGTACTTCTCTCCAACTCGCACTAAGAAAAATATCTGGCCAGACCCATGCTTGTCTCTGGTCTCCATCACTAGGATGACAGATCAGGGTCAATATATCAGCTAATGTCATTTGTTATTTGTTCTTTGTCTTTACTAGACTGAAGCAGGCAGTATTATGTCTCTCATCGTTGTCTTCATTTATGATGAAGCCCCAAAGGCAGGGCAGGAAGACCGCTTCTCTGTATTACGCTCCATGCTCAGCTACTATGACGGCAAGAATGATGCTGACACCAAGTCCATAGCACTCACTGTTGTCAGCAATAAGACTTATGTCTCTGAGCTGACCATCATAGACATGGTACGTATGACACTACCCTGTGACTTAGATTAGAACCTGCTGCAATTGTATGTGTGTGTGTGTGTGTGTGTGTGTGTGTGTGTGTGTGTGTGTGTGTGTGTGTGTGTGTGTGTGTGTGTGTGTGTGTGTTGGTGTGTATATATATGCTGGTGTGCTTGTTTGCAAAAGGGTGAGGAGAGAAGGGGAAGAAAGATGGGAGTAGGCAGCCAAACAGACAGACAAACAGAATGATAAAGAGACAGGGACAGACAGAGACAGAGGTGAGAATGTGAAGTGGGAAAGGTCAAGTTAATTAAAGTGAGAGGCTTATTTATGCCAGCACGTATGTAGAGAGATAATGCCACAGTGATATGGATATCAATTTGTCAGTGATCCCCCTCTTTTTAGTTTTAGGAGTGGGTGGTTGGCGGGTTCTCTGGTGTAGTTTGCTCCTTCTTTCCTATCTAACATCTATCGTCCTTGTCTCTCCTCCTTCTTTTTTATGTTTGTTACTTTCTTGTAGCCCCTCTAATCTTCGGCTCTTATATGACCTTATTGTGTTGCAAGTGCCGTAAAACTCTTACCAAAACCAAAACATTAATTTTAGGAGCCTGTGTTTTAACTTTTAAGGGTAGACACAAATGTAGTTTTCACTTGTGAGGTTTCTGCAACTGTCGTAGCAAGGTAAAGGATCTGCGTACATTGCATTGTTGCAGATCATTCTACAGTTCCTAGTCGATTCGCTGAAATTTTGGCCTAGTATAGGTAATACCGATGTTATTGAGTATAGGTAATTCCCACCCAAGGGTCCAGCTATAAGCCTCAACTCTCTGTTGCTGCACATTTATTGATAAACAGTTAGTGGCAATGGGAATGTTGTCTCCCTCAATAGCTTTTATAAGATAGTAAAGAGTCGAGAGAATTGTCAACACATGTCATACTTTCAACGTGCAGGCATGTTATGTATTCGATCATGTATTTTTTTTTCCTCTTATTGAATAAAATCAATTCACTTATCCTTTGGACTGGTCCACTGGTACTTCCTTTCTCTCTCAACATGTACACTTGCAGTCTCTTTACTTAAATCTCCTGTTTGAAGTAGTTTATACAGTCTTTGTGTTTTCTTGGCAGCTTTGATCTGATTTCCTTCCTATTCCTCTTTTCACACTTTTCTGTCTCAATATCACTTCTGTGAAAGAAGGTTGTAGTAAACTGTCCTATCTTTTTTCCTCCATTTTTCAGGTGAGCAGTCATAAAAGTGTGAGTGATGATACACTACTCTTCATGTGTACGGTTGGCATGCAGCTGAATATGGAGATGCTGAACCGTGTGCGGATCAACACCATCCCCGGCTGGCAAGTGTTCTTCCCCGTTGGCTTCTGGCAGTTCAAGCCCAATCTGATCTATGACAAGAAACCATACCCCACAGACATTGACTTTAACAGCAAGACCGGTCACTACGATGTACTGTCTTACGAGCATGGCAGCTTCTACAATTCTGACTACAAAGAAGCTCGGAAATCGTTAACGGGCAGTGAACTGGCTAGCTTTGACATATTCGAAATGTTTGTAAATTTTGGCAAGCTGCACGTATTCCGTGCTGTAGAGCCAGAGTTCAAGCACTTCTACCAGCATCTTGAATGCCTGCCCAATAGTCCGGGCAAGCTCTATGATCGCTGCTTAGAGCGACGGTCTTTGAACTTGGGCACTCGTGCTCAGCTGGCTAAGAGGATCTTTCAGTTCCAAGCCAAAAAAGGAGGACATTGATGAGAGACCAACTCGGGAGCAAGTGTGAGTGTTTTGCTTGTGTGTGTGCAAGTTTAAGCATGTCTGTATGTGTGTAGGTTTTTTGTATGAGTATTTTTTAAATTATGTATTTCATTGTCAGAGGGACTCAATATGTTTAGTCTGGAAAAAGGTTGAAATTGTACTTACAGTAATTCGTTAACATTTTGATATACTTGCTACTTTGTATGATATACATATATTATATATGGGGGGCTAGATTTATGTGGCAGGGGAGGGGAAGATGTGCCCATCGTAAGTGCTATGTTTGGTCTTATGTACTTACGGTGAAATTTATAAGTTAAGAGTACGGTAGTCATGACCTACTATGTTTTACTTCAGTTTAATGGCCAGTCACAACTTGCCATAATAAAGTGTTTTCTCTGACCCTGTGACCAGTGACGATTGTATAGTGAGTTTGGGATTTGAACAAGATGAAGAGGCAAGGCATCTGAAGAGTTGAGTACCTTTGAGATACGAAAATGTCTCCTTGGCCTTGTTCAACCTGTCGCCTGTCCCTTGCTTCCCAATGCCTTCATCTTTCCTGTCAGCTTTTATTTTCTGTATCTGTTTTAGACGCATAAAACATGTGACAGTACATGCAATAGATACCGACCAGTGATGCCAGTAAGCAAATGTGCCTCCTTTTGGCTACCTGAGTGTTGCTCTTAGTTCTTTTGGAAATTTTAGTTGGTGGCTCTTGTAGTAGTGGGAGTATATGATGGGCGTCACTCACATACAAGTCAGTGAAAGTTGACCTGTAATTACAAGCTGATGTCTCTCTCCCCCCCTCAAAAAAAAAAAGAAGCGTTTTACTCGCCTGTTCCATATGATATGTCAGTTTCTACACAGGTCTGTCTACACCTGCCACATAAATCCGGTTCATGGGATATTGTATGCTGTTCAAATTGTCCCAGTAAAAACTATAAAGATCGCTGTTCTAGAGGTTTTTTTTGTTGTAATATGACATTGAAGATCAAATGGTTATATTTATTAGAGCTCACTAACAAAAGTCATGATAAATGACTTAAAAGTATAAATGAAAAGCGAATTTTGAATCATACAATCATCATTCACTGTAAAGAAAGTTTGATATTTTCTGACATGCTTGTGATTCTTCTATGTCTTTGTTCAGTTTTACTAGCTGAGCTGTGCTTTAATTGCTGAGCATTGAGCTTGTGGATAGAAAGTACCAAAGACTGTTTGAGTGGCTATAGGCATAAAAACCAGGGAATGTGTAAAGAAGCTCTTATTCTTGAAGTGGAAAAAAAATGTGTTACAACGAGGTGGAATCAGGCGCTCGTCAATTTTTGGGCATGTAAAGTTATGGGTTTTATCATAAAGATTGTTCATTGGTCTTGCCTTTGATGAAAAACTATCCATCTGCCTTGAATAGAAGTTGAGATATTTGCATTTGAAGGAGGTTTAGGTTGCCTAGTTTCAGAGGTAAAATTAATGAGAAAATGACCACCAAAGTTTATTGACTTTCATAGTTTGAGAGTTCTGGGAATATGAAAATTTACATTTTTTGTGCCTTTGATCAATAATTTTGATTATATTCTATACAGAAATGTGTTTTTAAATAACCAAAAAAGTAATTCTAAAAAATTTGGCAACCAACGGAAAATGCTAGTTTCTTTGATTTCACTATTTTGATGAGGGCCTGTTTTCACCATGATGCCTCACGTATTGAGATATAGAATGTCAAAGCATAGGACAGTTGTTACAATTTTGATTTATAAAAGTTGTGTTTGTAGCTTTTAGGGTACTGCCATATGTTATTACAAAATGACAAAGCTTGTGATGCATTTATGCATTTATAATGTAAATTGTCCATTATTTAATCTGCTTTCCATTGTTTTTTGTATGTTATTCAATTAATATATGTGCTAGTGAGTTATGGGTTGGATTAAATTTGTAAGATTTTCCCTGAAAGAAATCTAAATTAAAAAAAACAAACCATTAGTTCAAAAGTCAAGAGTTCTCCCTCTTAAGTTTTCTGCTCTCATATCCAGTCATTTAAAAGTTTTAAAAGGTATAATAATTTCTTTTTCATTCTTGTAAAGAAGTCATGCAAGTCTCATGGTCATTCATATTAGTAGAAGCAGTGTGTAAGAGATCTACTCATTACCTTTATATCTAAGTTTCATGTTTCATTTTATTATGGGCCTATTTGTCTATACTGCCTGTCAGTCACTGATTTGTATGAACACCTTGCAATAAATTTGGAATTTGAGTTTTTGATAGCTTGTCCTACCACAAGTATTGACAGGATTTTCAGAAAAATGCCATGCCATGAAGGAGTACGTAAAATATTGCTGTCATAGCCTTTGTTTCATGTCTCGTATATTGTCTACTGAATCTTTTGGTATTGATCTGGCTTTCAGTTCAGGACAATTTTTTCTTTTAAAAACTTAATGAATAAGAATTTCGAGTCTGGTGGACTCAGTATGTTGAAATAAAGTTCTTGTTGAAAATATTTATTGGAAATTGCATAATATTTGTATCTTCAATTCCTAGCTTTGAAAAATCTGTCTGCTAAACATCATGGTGCAGTTACTTTAGATCGTTTCATTGCTATACATTGTGATGCAAGTTTTGAAAACTGCGATGTATAGACATACTTTGTTTTTTACTGACCTGGAAGCATAATACATCATCTATATGTTTCTTGTTTTGGCTAATTGTGTTTTGATATCAGACTTACAGTTTACCTCATCTCGTAAATAATTATGACTTTTTATTGTCTCGTTAACTTTTATGGAAACTATGATATACTGTAAAAGGGAATGGGGAGGGAAGGGAGATGGCTGTATTGTTAATTTGATTTGCATTTAGACTATTCTGGGTATAATTGTTGTAATTTATGAAAGCAAAATAGCCTACTAAATTGTAGGTTCTACCAGCTTTACTTGGGTGTGGAATGCAGGGTGCTTTTTATACCTTTGTGGTCCCTTTTTACAGCTCATGATGGTGAATGACATATTTCCTCTCCTGCTCAGAATCTAGTAATATCTTGTTTCATTTTACAAAAATTGTTTTAGTTAAATTGTCTTCGTCTGTGCAGTTTTTACTTCAGTATTTAAATCCTTGTTGTGACTTTTGGCATATATAAGTATTTGTTATTTGTGTTGTGAGGATTGTGCCTTCCTTTTTGTGTTTTTTCCTAAACAATACTGATATCAAGGACTTTCAGAATAGCACTTACCTGATCTGTGCAAAAGTAAAATTATTTTTTTCTTGAGTTTTGGGTTTAAGTATATATATTCTTTTACCACATTCATCTTTAAAATTCATCCGCAAATTCAGTCTTTTATCAAAGATAACTTTGTCAGCATTCAAGAGAGGGTTGTGGGGAATTTTTAGTGATCATCATATGCTCTGAAATCTGGACTTTCTATTTGGGTAAGTAAAAAAATAGAATTGTACATACATCTATAGTGTAAGACAGGGATATCAGCAGTTGTAAGGTAGATGAAGCTAGATGATTTTTCAAAATCTTCTAGAATGTTGCCATTGCCCAACAGACTGACTCATTTTCATTGACATTGTTTTGAACATTAAACCTTTCAGTGCTGCATAGTTTTGTCTCATGAGCAGGCGAAAAAGATTTAACAAAATTTAACTAACCTCATTCACAAATATGTGCCACTTTAGAAAATAATGCTGACTGCAGGAAATAGAATGTGGAATTTAATGGCAGAACAATTAGAAAAGGATTTCATGAATTATTTCTGTTTGACCCACAACAACCAAAATGGCCCTTGACAAGAAGCATTGAAGGGGATGACATTTTTTTGTTGCATATTGTATAATGTATGACCAAAATGGAATAGTCTATGTACTATGTGTCCTACACAAGTGTACAAAGCTGAATTTACAAATTTATGAAGTTTATAAAAAAAGGGGGCTAATGGTATGTTTTACAAGATTTACAATGTGCAATACCACTTTGGCCTCATCCTGTGACTGTGTCCCCCTTTTCTGCCATGAGCTGGACTTTGTCTTCTTGAGTGAAAGTTGGTATATGTTCATATGTAGTCATATGTTTAAATGATATTCATCTGCTTGTGTATATATACTCACTTGCTGTGAATCCACAATGTGATTATGGATGTTGATATGTGTTTTTGTGTCCTGGCCTGGTCAAGTGTGTTCACATGTGTGTATGCGTTTGTGTTCTTGGCTTTGCTTTGTCATTTTTTTGTGTTACCATATCACACATGCAGTGATGAGATTCTTAACATTAACCATCCTGTCTGTTAGGGTTGGCTCTTTTTTCATTAAATGAATGGAGTTAACTGAGGCTATCGCCTAGTCTAGGAGGAATTTCATCTGAGAGAAATGCTCTATTTTACATGTCTTTTTTTTAATGAGCTAAGGAAGCCCTTGTTCGGATTTTGCAAACCAAGCTGAGAGAAGTTAGTGTAGATTTACTTCACCCAGAAATTGTTCACTTTCATGTGAAGAGTTTATACTTTTGGGAACAGAGACAAGCCTTATGATGGAAGACATGTTACTACAAGGACTCATTGAGCACAAATTTACCAGTACCAGGTTTTTGTCAGATGACTCAGGTAAACTGAGGCTAACAATAGATCTTAATTATCACCGTTATCTAATCTGCAAGTTGGTACATTTTGAGAAGCATGTAACACAAATTTCTGCTGCTCATTCTGTATTATGGTGTTATTTTAAGGCGTTTCAAATGGTAAAGAAATTGAGTGTAGTCCATTGTTCTAAGCCAGTGAAGCCAAATAGCTGACATTTTGGTTAAAAGTGATAGCGTTTAAGTCCATTGTCTACTCATGTGCTGCTGGTTGTATTGAGATGGTTTATTACCTTCATGTGGGACCTATGTTGGAAGGTAATCAGCACAGTAGTACACTGTATTTACATTTAAGTAGAGTGCACGGTTATCCTTTTTGTATAAAGTGGGAGACTTGATCTGTTGTTTTCAGCATACTGTTGCTTGATAAAAAGATTAATAATTTGTACGATTTATGTCCTTACCTATATTTGTTTTGTACGATTATGGGTCTTGTTGCTTTAAAAGTATATTACATGTATTGCTTTCTTTAGCTTTTTAAGTGTTCATGAGGAAGGAAAGGATACAACTGAAGTTGAGAGGGAATGAACTGACCATGGTTGTGTGGGAACAAGTGTTTTATTGTGTCAGTTTGCCAAAAGGATTGTGAGTTTGTGAGGCAGCTGCCATTGTGTTCTCAGTAGTGACACTGACATATTTGTTCCAGCTGAACGGGACAAATTCTACAAGCCCTTGTCTCACTTCACACTGCTTTCAGTTTCAGGCTATGACATGTTGGTTGAGTTTGAGATGTTGAATATATCATACAGTGTAGATATTTTTTTCTGTGCTATGCAATTTTTTTTTTTCCCTGTGACATAGTTTACTGCAATTTTACTTATAAACTGCTGCAACTTTTCCACCTTTCTTTTCCCCTGACTATGCAATGATGTTTGGATTTTCTTGAAGCCTAAATACCAACCATAAGTGACCTTGGTATACAACTTAAGGATCCAGAGTATTAAATTATGATTTTTATCTATTTATTGTCATAAATATCAAACTTAATGTATGAATGTGTTTGTTAAATTTGTGTATTTAAATTAACAAATGTCCCTAATTTTGAGAGTTTTATTCAGATCAGGATGAGATCAAATGTTTAAAAAAAATTTGTTTTTGATTTTTTTTCTTTTTTTTTTTTTAAGAGATCATGTAATTGCAGTGCTGCAGGCTGCTTCTCCTTTGCACATGAACCACCATGCAACCTGTTGGTAGCCCTGTGCAATGCTTTGAAGGTTTTCAGTGATGTTTCTATTTTTTATAATGTAGTGTCCAGAGCATTGCAAACAAACAATACATTAGTTTTCTAATGTGAGCCACAGATTTATATTTTTATAATCAGAAACATTGTAATGTCTAAGTAACTGCGAACAGCGAAAATTGTGAGTCATCTTATGTGAGCCACTGTTCCTTCATTTCAACCTCCTGTCTTCCGCATAGCTTTGAGAAGTACTGCTGATTTCTAGACTTATTTTCTTATGACTGGCTGTATTCTCTATAGTATTTTCCTCTCCTGCTACTGTGGATGAATGAATCCCGGAACTGGATGAAATGTTTTCTTTTGCCAGTTGGTTTTTGAGTAACGGGAGGTAACCTGCTTCTTAGGTCAATGTCAATGTTTAATAAGTTGTTATGTTCCCTTAGACTGCTGGCATGGGGTGTTCATCATAAACTTGTCTCTTTTACTGGCTTCACGCTTTTCTTGTTTTGTCTCTTTAGTACGTTAGTACTTTCTCTCTCTCTCTCTCTCTCTCTCTCTCTCTC